GATTACGATACCGTATCCGGAATTGCCTTTATCGTACCTTTGCTTTCTCCAACACTGGATAAGCTATCAGGGCTAATGTTGATCCGATCGCTCCTACCAACGTAGCTTGCCATGGGGTGTAGAAAAGGCAGCCGGCTGAAAACTTACTTCCTTCCTTATTTTATTATTGTGGTTGTTAGGTCGCACTACACAGTCGAAGCCCTGATTTTATTGAAATGCTCTCTCTGAGTACTTCAAAGGGTACCTGTACTCGAAACTAAGGAAGCTAGTAGTCCATCTATGAACATGTCGACTTCGATCTTTTTTGTTGTGTATCGTGAAATCAGTACTGTAACCATTCCGCCACCGACTGACGCCATAATAGTCCCAACAGCGGATCTGAAGCCAGCGAATCCGTTGAATTGTTCAATTATTATCAGGGAAGATAGTGGAATCACAATTAGACCCACCGGCTTCCTTCTGTCCATTGCTGACCTGAGACGGAGTAGTTAGACGAAGTATTAAATGCCAGCCATCCCCACCATATCATCAGGAATCCTGGAAAATTGGTTGAAATTAGTTTTAGGAGTAGGCACAACAGATATAGTCCTTATGTGAAATATACTTTACGGTTTGAGGAAAATTATCAATTCTGACTTCTATAGACTGTTTTTGCATGAAACAGAATCGATTATTGATTGATATACCGAATGGTTTTTTCCCATTTGATAACGTTTGATTAACAAGTGCATTGTATGGAGGGGGGACACTTATGACTGCGTTGGCTTTTGGGCTAGAACTACCGTACCCGGATCGTATCCCTGGCACGATTTACATTTTAATTTCACTCACAATCAGGAGAAACTCTCTGATTCGGCTGCAGCTTAAAAACAACGTTTTGTAGGAGCGAGACTACATCCAGCAAAAGGATTCGGATCTAATCAGTCCCTACAGAGTGAAGAAGGGTGAGTGTGATCTTTGGGACAGAGATGAAGGGAGACTTGATCCGTATCCTCAGGAATATGAAGTGAGTTTTGTGTTTGGATATTGGAATTCTTCAAAAAATTCCGGGAATTCGGGATCTCAAACCATTCAGGAGATACTAATGGTAAGTAGACTAATGAGAGCCTGCAGTTGGGGGAAGGGAGGTAGGACCCAGTAAAAATGATTAGGAACTCTCTAATCGTAATTCTTTAATTCCATTCGGAACTCCGGAGAAGCAACCTACTGGTGATTTTTTATCTTGATTATTTTTTCGAAAATGACCTAATTTTCCCTCTATATAACCCTGTTTGTCTCTCTATATGGCCCTATTTGTTTCTTGTTCTGCTTTGTGTCGCCCTTGGAGCATCGGAATACGTAAATGTAGAGTAAGGAAGATGCCTATATGGCCCACAGCTCGCATTCACCTAAAATGGCTTTCGTCGGATCGCTGATCTGTCTAGCTCGTTGGTCCTTGAAGCGGTGTTGACGTGGCTTCAGATATAAAGTGGCCACCAGACCTGATATCCCACCAACAAGATGCACCTGAAAAATGGCATAGGGCACATAAGAATTAAAGTTTATGTAAAATGTGGTTTTAGAGCAGTACGGGTTGAATAAAGTTCTGTGTATTGTCGACATTGATCAGCTCCATTGGGATACATTCGCAATACATTGGACTGACATTCGGAATTACTACAGTTTAAGCGCATTTGGTTCATTCCATAACTAAAGGGCCTACATGAGGTGTGCTTTAACCTTCCCCACGTGCCAGGTCCCACCTAAGTAGCTATAAAGGGATGTCTTGTTCGGCTATAATGAATCTGGCATCTGAGCTCTAGGCAATGCTCTCTGCGGTCACCCATTCAATGCCTCAGATCCGTCAAAGTGCTTTTCCTAAGTGCCTGTTGTGAAAAGGAAGAAATAAACTTGCCGCACTACAACCTGCCGAGTCGATAACGCCCATCGCACGAAATATTCCATGCTGGTGCCATACCCAATGAGCGGCAATTGAATGCACTAAGGTGATGAAGAATGATACAAAAATATGTGATTGTACGTGAATCCTCTCGGCCATACCAGCTGAAGCGAGAGAATTTAGTGAAATACAATGAAAATACTTCGAGCAATCCAAGATCATGACTCCGGCACCAATCATTTCGGTACTATATTGCTAATTTCTATTCATTTATGATTTCCTATTTATTTCATGTTGTTATTGAGTAGATCCATGCTGTGGAGTTGCGCAAAATTGAGTTTAAATAAGGATTTGGAGTTCACGCCCACGCCCAGTTCACGTTCATTTTTACGGTCGCACCAGCCACACGATAAAACTTTGATAGTTTTCTTGCGGTCCCAAGTTACTGTAACCGTAATCAACCTTTGAAGCCTAGTGAAATCGTTGAAATCTGGTCTATACAATGCGCGCTCCGATCATCCATCGAATTGTCCAGCATAAAGTGGGTGGGGCGCGCGTGGGACGCCTATCGGGCAAGAATCCCCACACCCGGCTGGTGGTATTGAGCCTAAGATAGCAACTAGCTTGAAGGCACGAGGGTAGCTTGAGGTCCTTTCTAGTCACCGCTAAATCCCTTGACTTAGTTATTCGGGTATGTGGTATTGAAACCAAATTTTGTAAACAAGAGAAGTCAAAGCTTCTCCAAAGTCAAATCCAATTTGAAACCTTCAAAAAAAACGATCAGGATTTTTCGTGGGAATTTGGGTCTGCCCAGTGCTGTTTACGATTCTTCCTGAGGTTTTACATTACCAGTGGCGCTAGGGTGTGACAAACTGTACCACTGTGGTGTTTGTTATTGAGTTGCCGAATTTTTTATTGACATTGTTTTTCCAACTCAACCCAACTCAACAACAAAAAACAAAATCGTTAATTCAATTAAGTAGATTGCTCCCTACAGAATACTTACAAAAAATCACCTGAAACAATAGTTGATGTTGTGGTGGCGAAACTCATTTGAAAGATAAACAATCCATATGAGGAACCTTGCTGAAAGAAGGGGTAGTATTAGGACTTCCACCTTAGAAATTCGTCTCAAGTTCGCAGAAAATTCGTTGGCGATAAATTACTTTTAGTCGTTATGTCAGTTGTTGAGAGTTAGCTGTTCACATTAAAAGTCTAAAGTCTTAGATAAAGTCTTGGGGGTTCGATCAATCTCGTCTTAAGGATACGCCCCGCCTTCGACTTCCATTCGGAATCGTAGGGCCGTATTGAGCGCGTATGGGGCCCATACAATGACTTGCGGTGGCCGGCCGTTGTACAAGTCAGTGTTTTTATCCTCCCGACCAGTCTGGTACAATTCACCGACTCCGTAGTTATGGAAGGCTTAGTTGACCTAGGCGGGCATCGATCCGGGATCCGAACCCGTGACCATACAAGCGTGATAGTGCGTCATTTTTTGAACTTAAGTTTTTTTCAGTGCCTCTTCTTGAACATTTTCTTTTGCCACCTGTCTTGTGGCGGTTCTTCAGATGCTGAAGCGCTAAGTAAAGGAGAAGCTGCATGGGATAATATTGGGAAAAAATATTATTTACCTGAACAACTGCAAAATCTGAGTAGTTTGGAAATCAGTAGAAACAAACTTGGTCGGTTGACATTTGCCCTTCTCGTTCAGGATCGAAAAAGTAGTCGCCGACTCCGATGAATGGGTTCACCAACCTTTGGCCAAATGTGAATCCATAGCCAAACATCCAGTAAGCGAGACCTGAAGTCGAGGTAACTGGTTAGACTTTCAACTCTTAAACAATAATAGCATAGAAGAGTCACGGAATGTTACCTAGAAATTCCTAATCTCTAATTGGGACAGTTGGATTCAAGACTTTTTTGACTGCAGTTATTGTTTATCAAAATTGTATTTGGCACCTTTCCAAACGGGTATGTGTACGAACATGCGTCCGAGGATGCGCGCGGCAAATTGCGCGGCGAAGTTCGTAATGATTTG